ATGAAGCTGGCAATATACTGTAGTTATTTCTAAAGCAAGTAGTGTTATTCACAACAGGCTTGTGTAATAGGTACAAAAGACTGCTTCACTTTTTCCTTAAAATTATTTCTGAAGGATTAAACACTATTATACACCACTACTGTCATTCCTGGAAGAGATCTATAAAATTTTACATGACTTATAGAATACACAGGCACCCTTAATATACAGAGTGCCTGTGTATTCTGTAACTCATGAGCTCAACATATTTGCAGCCAAGAATGGCAAAGAAGCTAATTCTAGGATGCATCATTTTATGGGGTAGAATTAAAGAAAACCTTTAGCTCAGAGCATTCATGCTTTCTTCAAGAAGTGTGCTTTGTAATATAATGTGGGGCAATACATATATTCAAGCATATTTTCCTAACCAGCAACTACAGATGCTACTCTCTAGTTCACCAGGCTTCAAAAAATGGGCTTCCAATTATTTTACATTACTGAAAATTGTGATAATATGCACCTGAGTGGACAAAGGAGAACACACACACACATTTTCAAATGCTTTTTCAGTGATCAAATGATGAGGTCCAGAGTAGTGTAATGAACAGCAGCAATTTCTTTATATAAAGGCTAGCTCTATTCTTTTAATAAGTCCCTCTCTGCAGCCTTATGCATGTTTGTTCATAATGGTGCTGAAGAAATGGACAATCTGCTAGGAGAGCTTGCACTGACAGTGAAAAAAATCTGAAATTCACTGCAAAATGAGGAAAGAAGATGTAGTCTCTTATTCCTTCCCACAAAATAGAACTTCCATGCTGTGAATTTAAGAGCCACTATGGAGCACTGGTTGTCTTGTCAGGCTACAACTGGGAAGACCCAGATTCAAATCCCCACTCAGCCATGAAGTTCAATGGGTGAACTTGCATCAGTCACTAACTTTTAGTACAGTGATAGATAACATGGTACCATCCAGATATTTTTGAATACCACTCCCATGATCCCTGATCATTGGGCTGGAGCTGATAGGAGTTGAAACCCAACAACAACTAGGCAGGACTTGAGTGTCATTACATAACACAAAACATAGGTAGAGAGTTTCCTGGGACATCCAGAGTTGTACAAAGTAATGTAACATTGCAGGATTAAAGCCAAGTCACAGGGGTGGAACGGACTCCCTCGGGAGGTGGTGGACTCTTCCTTCATTGCAGGTTTTTAAGCAGAGGTTGGATGACCATCTATCATGTATGCTGAAATTGAGATTCCTGCATTGCAGGGAGTTGGACTAGATGACTGTTGGGGTCATCTAGCTCTACAATTCTATGATTCTAATTAATTAGTCCTTGCTGAAAAAGAGACAAGCCTGATCCTCTTCGGAAAATACAGAAATAGATATTGAGTTCACCAGAAGCCGAATAGGCTTGCTGGCTGGCTCCCATTCATTCACACTGGATGATTAATAGATGAATTACAAGCATTGTTTGTGTAAGATCCTATAATGGGTTCCAGGGATCAACTGGATGATTGCAACCTCCTGCTTGTGGCTAGCATTTGCTTGGGTCAGCATTGGCTCATCATTTATAAAGCATAGACAAGCTAAGTAAAAGCAAGTACTCTTTAGCCACAGAGCAAGCCTAGTATGAACAACCAAGACACTACAGAGGGCCTGGTGTAAAGTCATTGTTTTCCAAAATAGATACACAAAGTCCATCACCCCGGGCATGAAGAAAGCACACTACTTAACTACTATGCCTAATAATGGTTGATAGATCTAGACCACATGAGTTTCTCTGAGCTGTAGCTCAGTGGGGGAGCATCTGTGTTGAATGCAGAAAATCCCAAATTCAATCCCTGGCAACTCCAGGTTAGGCAGGTGAAGACCCTTCTCTGAAACTGTGGAAAGCCACTGCCAGTCAGAATAGCTAAATGGGCCGATTATCTGACTCAGTGTAAGGCAGCTTCCTATGTTCCTACACCCCTCTTTAAAGTTGTTTAAGCCAGTAACTTCCCTTCATGGATCATGAGCTATACCATGCAGGGCCACCCAAGATGGACAGGTTATAGCTGAGAGTTTAGACTAAATGTGATCCACCTGGAGAAGGAACTGGCAAATCACTCCAGTATTTTGCCAAGAAAACTCCATGGACATAAAAAAGGAGAAGCTTCGAGAAGAAAGTGAGTGTTTCCAGGGCATGCATTGGTTCATGGAGTCACAGGGAGTCAAACACGACTAAGACGACTAAACAACAACAACGATCACTATAATCACTTCTACAGCAGTGAATTCCATGCACTTCATAAAGTAGTACTTTATTTTATGGGTTCTGAATCCACTGTCTGTCTATTTAATTGGGTGCCCACAATTCCTATTATTATGAGAAAGAGGGGAAAGTTGTCACTCCCACTTTTTTTTCCTGCCATGCCAAACTTTATAAAGCTCTGTCATGCTTGCTCTTATTCACCTTTTTAAAAACAACAACAAATAATAATTTAGCCTTTCCCTCATGGAAAGATGTTCCAGTCCTTGATCATTTTGCTTGCCCTATTCGAGTAGTAAAATAAATTTTATGGGATAGGGAGAGTAAAACTGTGTAGAAGGCATTCCAAGCACAGTTCCACCCCAGATTTATCTAAATTCACTATGACACAAGCCATTTTATTTTCAATCCAGTTTGTAATAATCTCTAATGCTGAATTTTCTTCCTTCCCACTGCCACTGCAGGCACTGAGTTATTCATCACCACCCCAATACCTTTTTTCTGAACTGTCACAGCAAATTGAGTTCCCATAAACATATGTATAAGTTTCTCGCCTCATTTCAACATGCATCATTTTACGCTTATTAGAATGAATCTCATTTGCCATTTTGTTTCCCATTTGTCCAGGTCTGGAGATAATCCTTGGGGATGATTTGGCATCATCCACAAACTTGAGCACATTTAAGAGTAAGTCAAAAAGCTCTCCCAATAATGCAAAGTGATCTCGCATCAAACAGGGTGCCAGCCAGATTAGAAACAGTGTGCACTGCATCTGATCTGATTAGACCACCCACATCTAAGAACACGCCTGGAAGGTAAAGATAATGATCTGGGCCATAGCAAGTGGCCAAGCTTGCTGACTGATATCACTGGCTGTGCACAGTAGTAATCAATATGTCTGTTTCACCCCTGAGACCCTATATCCTCACGACTAATTCAGGAGAAGCTTTTTGGCTCCCTCTTTTCCTTCCCATAACTTCTCCAATATGTTAATCCAGTTTAATTAAGTCCACCCCTTGGTGAAGAGAAAGATAAGAAAGGTGGAGGAAGAGTGAAGACGGGAACATGCCATAACTGTCACAGGTCTGGTGGGCGAAGTACCACCAGAAATGTCCCAATGTGTTTACAAGAGAGAGCACCCTAAATATAAATTTGTTAAGTAATCCAAGTTCAACTAAACAAATGCAAGACAGACATAGCATATTAAACACTTTAAAAAATGTATGCATTAAAGATTTAAAACATATAGGAAGGGGAGGGAAAGGGTTAAAACCAGGAATTCTCCTTGCATCTGGTCTATCATTTACAAGCCTCATCCTCACCCTCCACAGTGTTATGCTCCATTCTGCTCTCATTATAGATTTGCTTCTACTGTTCATGCCCTGTTAAACAATTTCAGTTTAATTAATTACCCCACTGATATGAAATCACCAAAGGATCCTTCGTTTCTAGGTACATACAGACTCATTAACATCAAATTTAATAGATCTTCAAGGGGGGAAGCCCACGCACACAAAAAAGATACTCAGAAAAAGAGGTGAAAAGATTGCTCTGTTAAGTAACACCATTCAAGTATGTTTTGATATCACTGCTGATCTCAACAGCAATTGTGGGCTTAGAAATGCACAAAATACAAAGCTATCAGAAATATGTAAAGGGAATACCTTTTTTAAAAAAAGAAGATCACTCTTAAAAACTCCCAGTTCAACTTGCCTTGAAAGGTGGATTTCTAATTTAGTGTTAACAATAAGAAACCAATAATATGGACTAGGTGGCATCTGACAGAATTTTCAATCTGAGCATCAGCTCAGCAAAATCAGGCTTTAAGATGCCAGAGGTACTGTACAGCAGTCTCATATAATCCATGTATTGGTAGACTGTACTACTTCAGACTGTGTATATGGAATTGAAACCTGAATGCTTTCCCATGTAAACTTCTCCTGGCTGGTTGCAAGGCTGGTCTCATTGCAGCCCATTGTACCAGCATAGCAAAGATTGTGCAGGAGGATGAGAACTAAATTCAACCAGTATTATAGAGAGAAGCAGAGCTTTTTTTCAGCCGGAAATCACTCAGTTCCAGCACCTCTCAGGTGCGTACCCATTGTCATTATAAGAGAACAAGCGAGGTGTTCATTGTGTGTTCTGGCACCTCTTTATTTAATAGGAAAATAGCACTGGATAGAAGGATTTTAAGCCTTAATCCATAAATAGCAGTTGTATATGTGCTGGGATGTTTTTATTGGGGGGCGGGTTATCAAATAGAAATGACCCCACCTGCAGTCTGTAATAGTACAGTCCTATAACAGATGCATTGCACAATATTGTGTTTCAGCTCTAACACTGGCCATCCTATGCACCAAGGGTTACCACCACAGCACTCATTGGCACGCATGCACCCACAAGGACGTACCCTGGTTCCCACAGGATCTCCTCACCCATCCTGAAATGGCTTTAAAAAAGCATTCTATTCCAGCCAACAGAATAGGTTGCCATGTGTGCTTGGCTGCAGCCTGTGTGCTGTGTGATGCTCACAATAGTGTCTCCAGTCTAAAATGTGAACATGGGCCCAAAAGGTGGCAACCCCTGCTAGATCCAATGCATTTGCACCCAACTTGTTTTCTGTTAAAATATTACCATATCCTTCCAACATGACCAAACAGGATGCCCACGCTAACACCACCACCATTTAAAATATAGGTAAGGGCACATGGCGTTGTGTGTGCATGCATAAATAAAGGTTTGATTATCTAAAGACACGCATGTTACCTGTTCTTGTCTCTCCAGCCATTTATCTACCATGGGGTGGGTGGCACTTAGTGAAGAGCGAGCATTGTCCCTCTGAAACTGGGTAGACCAGCTACTGGTGTCTCGTGGGAGGCTTCTGTAATTTTCATCTTTCTGTTTCAAAACAAAAACAGGGAAGAAGGTGATACAATTTAAAAGCAAAACACAATAACACTGTCTAAGGGCACTAACCATGCAGCAGGTTTTCAAAAGAACGACACACCAGAGACAGACTGGAAATGAAACAGAATGTATCATTTCCAAGTTTAGGTCTCTATAGAACACTAGCACTGCAAGTCTACGTGTGGCACTTTTATAGCCAGTGTGTCCTAGGGGCTGTTAAAATGCAATATGCATTTGCACACTCACAGGCTGCTATGTTTTCCCTACAGCAGTTCCGGAAAACTCATGTGCAAAATGGACCTTCTCTTTAAAAAGTTATAGCAGTGGTGCAAACGCTATGGCGAGTGTGTTAGAAAACTCTGCAGGTGAGTGAGTGTGTTAGAACCTGTGTTACAACACACCAGGGGCTTCTAACAGCTTCAAATAAGGTGTAGCTATTAAGATTTAAGGCAAGGAGAGGTATAGAAAGTGGGGCTAGTTTTAAAAGAATATAGAATTATTTTTTTTAAAAAAAATCCTGACAGACTAGTCTTCAATCAATAGGAATCTTGAAGTGCTTAAACATGGGACAGAGTATCCTGGCTTACAGGTTAAGTCTGGATTCTGCTGCTGGAAAAGGACAGACACAGTTCCTCTGGGAAAGAAAAATCATGTTTATGTTGAATCCAGGGAGAAGAGAGAAGGGTCCAGCCAATGGGGAAGGATATCAATCCTGCTTGGGACAAAGACAATCCTAGTACAATCTCTTTTGTGTCATGTTATATATCTATGGTGCAAACCTTAAAGCAATAAACAGAGCACTCTGCCTATTTATGTGCGCCCTCTCTGATACATATGGGGTTCTGGTCCCCAGACTGAAGCACAATAAATATAAAAAAGGGATTAAGGTCCTATTAAAATGCACAATGGGGAAACAAGAGGCAAAGTAGCAAGTCACGGAAAGGGCCCTCCATAGTGGAAAGGGAGCTGTCTGGAATTTAATAGTTATCCAAAGGCCTTGACAGAAAGCAGCAGGTCAGGTGTGTGGCAGAATATTGCTTCTCGTTCCATTTCCTCTTTGTGTCAAAAACATATCTGCAACTGCTAAGAGCCAACAGCAACTATTTAAATCATCTGATGGTAGTGCAAAGCCAAAGCAAAATCACAGTTGGGAAAAAGAAATATGACTTGACGTGAGGGAAAACCACTTTAAACCATAATTTATTGATGTGACCTTGTCATATGACAGATCCCCGGCTTCTCTGACTGAGCAAATGAGCATTCTTGCAAGGAAGACCGGGCGGATAATGAACTCCCACTACTATATTGATTGGCAATTACCATTTTCTATACATACTTCTACAACAAGGCTACATAATCCTATTCTATGCAAAGAATAAACCTCCAGACAGCTACTTTTAAATTATCTCAGAACAATATTGGGAATCTCAAAGTACACATATGTACTTCAGTTCTACATCTAACTATGGACTACAACCTATTTTTGTAGAAGGTTAGGCCTTTCTGTGTAAGAGCTAAGGTCTAATTCCCACTGAGCTGTACCACATAAAGATGTAGGAAGATTTCTAATGAGTTCTCTGCATATGAAGCAGCAACATGTAGCTTAAAATAGTACAGCCCTGGCACAAGCTGACCACTCAGTAAGAACTAGGTCTTACCAAATGATTTGTAATCTCAGCACAAGACCCTGTACAGCCTCTAACTTTTGAAAGGGGGGACAACAAATTATAGTTGGCTTACCAGGAGCCAGGGCAGACAAAAAATGAATCTGGAACATGGGGACCACCAATGAGCTGTGAATATTGCATTCTGTCCCTTGCTCATGGGCTCTCATGCATGGACTTTTCCATCTCCAACAAGAACTTTCTGCAAGTGTTCTTCTTCTGTTTGTGTGATGAGACAGTGTGGACATGATAACTAGAGCTTCTCTGTGTTCCAAATTATCGTATTTTTCCTACTGGCATATTATTCATATCCCACAGCGGGTAAGTAGGTGGGACTCTGTGTAGGGTTGAGATTATATATGGCAGAGCAAAAACAAGAACAGCTTAGTGCTTTGCCAAACAGATCACATTCTGACAATTATTTGATGTGTAGATTATAAACAGTGTTGATGTTTGAACACATAAGTTTTTCCATTTGTTATAAATGCTGCTTTCCTGGGCTATATGTCAAGAGGAGCATACAGGAGGAAGGGATGTCCAGGCAGGATTTTTGGTTCTGGATTTTCAAAGGGCGTTAGGAACATTCCTCTACCAACTATTTATCCAGAACCATATTATTTGCGCTGCTGCATAGATATTTCCACTAAAATTGTGAACAATGGCTTACCAGGATGGTGCAACTATGCAGGTTCCCCAACAGAGCTTAACCATGAGCCCTGGCTCAGATGGCATGCTCAGTCAAAACTTGGCTTAGTTCAGTGTGACACAAGATTTCAAAAGACCTGGGAAGGGCAAAGTGGCTGTGAGTAACTCTCTGGGAGCTTGCATGATCATGCAGTCCTGGTTGTTGGAGAACACCCTGGGGGTGCCCCTGCAGCCCTGAACTCCGAGAGTCCTCTGGTATGCGCAGCTCTGAAAAAGGCATTTCCCTTCTTCTCCAGTGCGCTTCAGAGACATATATCAAATGATATATGCACACTAATCTTCTAGCATAACACAGCAAGAAGCGTGAGACATCGTAGAGCTAATCTACGTATTTATTTACACACTATGTACAGACAAAGGAATCATGGTGTTTTCTCTCTCTCGCTCTGAGAGGGAAACAGACAGAAGTAAAAGCAAAAGTACAGTACAATAGTACATACAGCGGAAGAGATAAGACTGTCTTTCGTTCCCACACTCTTCCCAGCAAAGAGAGACAGACAGTCAGTCAGACAGACAGACTCTTTTCATCATGCTATCAGCAGGTTTCCCCTAACATACAGGTGAGAATAGCCAAAGGACCAATATGCAATTAAACAACAACAACTCCCACCCCAGCAATTTTCATCATGACCTTTGAGACAAAGGCCACTTTGGAGAAATTCTCTTTACTCAGCATGTCAGGCACATGTTTCAAGGCTTCCTCTATAATGGGGACATAGAGACTAATTGTGTCAGTCAGCGAGTGACTTGTTACAAGTGTTTGTATATATTAAATGAGACGGACACCATTGCTTGGCAGTCTCTATTCCCCTCTGGGTAGATTCAGTTTATTTTATCATTCTACAGTGCAATTTAACACTCTGCCTATTTCCAGATGATTTTAGAGCCATGACCTTGTAAACTAAAGCAGACAGGACAGGTGATGTCCCCACGACATACATAACAGAGGGGCCAGCTCCAATGGCACAATATCAGGGATCTATTAGTCTTTTATGTACGCCACCAAAAGAATAATGGAGGAGAAAGAGAGCACATGCACACTGTAAAGATTGTTCCAATACAAAATGGTTAAGGGAGGATGAAACAGGAAGAGTATTTTAATAATAATAATTTATTTCTAATAATTAGGGAGTCAAGAGGGGGAGAAGGCATTTATCTCAGATTCTTCAATGAAAAGCAGGACCAGAAAATTTGCATTCTGAGAAAGACATTGAAAAAAAATGATCACTTGTTACCCATCCTGATTATCAAAACCCTTTCAAAACCGCCTGCCTCTGCAGCTCTATGAGTAAAACTAATCTCTTACGCATAAAGAGTAGAGGATTAGATAGCAATGCTGTGAGAAGATAGCAGACCCTTTCATAAGCCAGTGCTGTATTTTAATTCCAATGCCCTTACACTCATAAAAAGCTCACCATCCCAGGTTAAATGTGTTTCCCTGATACTTTTGAATGATAAACTGACTAAAGCCAAAAAGTTTTACAGAAAAGGCAATTATTAAGGTCAGTGGTGATAAATGGCTCTTCTACTAAGCAACCAATATTCTGCTTTGACAGTCGGCAGTGGAGAATCTGAACCATACCTGGAGAATAAAGTAAAAGTCAAAATGCCGCAGTCATTTTATCTTGTTTACAAAGGAACCATCACAAATGAGATGCTGCTTGGCTTTGTATGTACACATGCAAAACCAAAAACTCTCAACTTAAGTACAGTTCACATTGTTATTTCTCAGGCCCCAAGAGCTCTGATGAATTCCATTCCCACCCCCCAATTCACTCTCCACTCATTAATCTCACAGTAAAATCTCAATAAAGATAATGCAAAACAAACAAAACAGCATATGGTGATTGATGTAGTGTAATTACAATGCACGAGCTGGGCTTTAATCCTGCTGGTAGTTTAATAAGACCAAAAAAATGAAGAGACACAAAACTGTTTGTTTCCCCCAGGTGCATTTTAAAGAGGAAAAACTACCATATACCACAAGAAATACTGCCTACTTATGTAGACAATAATTCAAAATAATCCATCTGCATTATATCTGCTCTGCAAATCCTAGTCAGTCAAGATGAAACTCACTGAAGAATCAATTCCAACTTCTTTCTCAGTATTCATTATGATCACATTATGCTTCTAAAAACCCTGTGGCAGCATTTACCCCTTATGCTCAAACCAGGGCTTAGCAATACATGGCCACGCCACCATAAGCCTGTGTGAAGTACTACACTTGGACACTTCCTGTCCCACCTTTTTCTCCAAGGAGCTCACAGTTGCACACGTTTCCGCCCTTCCGCATTTTAATCCTAACAACCCAGCGAGGTGGGTTGGGTAGGTTAGGCTGAGAGGCAGTGGCTGGCCCAAGCTCACGCAGTGACCTTCATGCCCAAGTGGAGATTTGAACCCTGGTCTCCCACGTCGTGGTCTGACACTAACCACTATACCACACTGACACTGTTTGATGAGCATTCCAGGAATTCTGCCCACTAGATCTTGCTTAAAATGCTGTTTAAATTTTATGTATTTCTAAGTAACTTTGGAATATTTTCTTGGTAAAAGGCAACAAATAAATGTCACAACGGCCAAGTTCTAGTTCAGGGTGGGGAGCTTTTCACCCTCCAGATG